CGAATTTTTTTAACAAATTTTTTTTCGAATCTAATTACATCATTCGATTCCTCGGAAAATTTCGATATAAATACGTTATTTTCACTAACAAATAAAAAAGTCGAAGGTTTAAAGAGCAAAATCCCAATTCGCACTTGTGTGACCTTTGAGGGTTAACTGAGGTAACATTTTTTTAACGTATTTTCATCACTGTAAGATAGGTGTGTTAAATTTTTACTTAATATAATCAAATATTTAATATTTTGTAATATTTCCACCATTCCGATTTCCTGTCAAAGATCGAGGCACGCCCCTGGCCTCACCCGTTGTGTCTATTGGCATCTGCGACGCGTCGAGTTTACTTTTAATGGACCGTGGCGGAGTTCTTCCGCAAATATTAACTGGCGCTCGGATCGGCAATTTGAGACTCGCTCTGTCGTAAATTTTTTACGATCCCCGCGGCCTGGTGTGTTGGATTAACCGCTCTCCATTCGATTTGCATATGTCGCTTAATAATGTACGCCTTAATGTGCGCGATCCTCATATCTCTGCAGAATTCTGATGGAAGGTGTATTAATATTTATAAGCTTTGATAAAGTTCACATCTTGATGCTTGCACAACCCCTGATTATTATCATTTCATGAAGATTTATAAACGACATTGTGAAATCGTGAGGTCGCAGGCAATTTGAATGGAATAAATCACAGAGACTTAGGTCTGGAAATCCTGCGGGCCACCGTGTAGTGAGATATGTATCTCCCAGCACCCAATTTACCTTTAAGCCTCACTAAATCAAGTGCAGTACACTTATAACGTGACCAAGACAGGATTGGTAGTTCATGATGCAATTTAGAACATGAATAGCTTCCACAAAGACGGTGGAAGCGGGCACTTTGGATGATGATTGCAAAGTGTAGTGAAATAGAGAACTTGCCAGCACCACCATCAAAAAGCTTTCTTTCAAATCGCTTCAAAGGAACAACCCAGAACGTACCGTTGTCCTCTTTGTACCGTGCGTCAAGCTGTGAACTTTTGAAAACTCCCAATTAATTGAACTCGCGACAAAGCCCAGCGAATCAATTAAATCCAGGAACTTGCTCACAGGCCCTGAGCCCTGTTGATGCAGCTCCCGATACCTCATAATAATTAATTTCTCGACCAAATCGGCCGTGTAGATGCACCTACCCCCACCCGCCCGGTGAATATTGCATTCGAACGCCCTAGGAGCGAACCGCTTTGTGGCGAAGTTGCAGATGCGGTGTTTGCTTCTCGGACCACTTCATTTTATCGCTAACGCAATTATAGTTTCCACTCTGAATTAATAAATAGCGGGCATAGCATCCAGTTCGGACTTTATCAAAGTTCGTAATTGAGGGCGAGCGACTGTTGTGGGAACGCCTCAGCCTCTCGGGCCGCCAAAATGTTTATTAGTGCAGCTGTTTTCAGCGATTCTTCTACTAAAGTGGAGGATAAGTCAATATTTCTTCAAATTCAGGGGAAGCTTCGGGAATATTTGTAACATTTCTCTTGCCATTGTTTTTGCTCTTTCATTAATTCAACGTTCGTTTGTTCCATTCCGCTTACAACCTAGACGTTGTTAACTCAAGGATATTACTACCTTTCCTGCAGCTACTTTGCATACCTTTATAATTTAATATGGCCCCCGCGTCGAAGGGAAATTTCCTCTAATTCGTCCGACTGCGACGCCGTGGAGTTTTACGTCGCCTGGCTAACAAATAAAAATGGACTTGTTAAGCAGCATCTCAATTTATGATGCATTAAACTCGACTTCCTCCCGTAGTTTATGGCGCGTTTTGATACGCTGCAGTGAAGTGTAAAACTGTAGGGTGCAGTATTTATGTTGAGGTGGTCATAATTGTCGAGATCTCGCTTCGTTCTCGCTAAACCGTACGGCTTATGCACGTACCCCTAGTACTCCAGAAATCATTAAAACTCAAGGTTTTTTTAACAAAGAAGTCGAAATTTTGAGTTTAAAGTCGAGAATTAAAGTTGTTTAGTCGAAATTATTAACCTGGTTCGAACTTTCATTTTTGTGAAAGCGAAACTTAAGACATGTAAATTTTGAACTTAAATATAAGTTCGAACTTCGAATTTTGGAATTTAAGATCGAAATTTCGAGTAAGTTGAAGTTTTATATTTAATAATGCGAATTCCACGTTTGAGATAAAGCTTTTCAATTTCGACAATTCTCAGATCGAAATTCTCGAGTTTTTAATTCTAAATTTCTTGCCCGAACTTCAAATTTCGGAATTTTAGGGACTGAAATTTAACACTACGAGCTTGAATTGGAAGTCGAGATTTTAAGTTGCTTAGTCGAAATTATGAACCTGGTCTGCAATTTCATTTTTGTGAAACCAAAATTTAAGGCTGAGGTGGATATATAAATTTTTTAGTTAAATTTAAGTTCGAACTTCGAATTTTGGAGTTTAAAATCGAAATTTCGAGTAAGAAGTTGAAATTTTATATTTTATAATGCTTTCCATGTCTGAAGTAAAGCTTTTGAATTTCGATAATTTTCAAATCGAAATTCTCGAGTTTTTAATTCTAAATTTCTTGGGATTTTTAGGGACAGAAATCAAAGTTTTAAATTTAAATTTAACACTTCGAGCCTGAATTCGAAATTTTGAATTGGAAGTCGAGATTTTAAATTGCTTAGTCGAAGTTATGAACCTGGTCCGAAAATTCATTTTTGTGAAACCGAAACTTAAAGGTTGAGGAAGTTAAATTTAAGTTCGAACTCCGAATTTTGGAGTTTGAAATCGAAATTTCGAAAAAGAGTGAAATTTTATAATTTATATGCGAATCCACGTTTGAAGTAAATCGTTTGAATTTCGACAATTCTCAAATCGAAATTATCGAGTTTTTAATTCTAAATTTCTTGTTCGAACTTCAAATTTCTGATTTTTAAGGACTGAAATCAAAGTTTTAAATTTAAATTTAACACTTCAAGCTTGAATTCGAAATTTTGAATTGAAAGTCGAGATTTTAAATTGCTTAGTCGAAATTATGAACCTGGTCCGCAATTTCATTTTTGTGAAACCGAAACTTTAAGGCTGAGGTCGATATGTAAATTTTTAAGTTAAATTTAAGTTCGAACTCCGAATTTTGGAGTTTAAAATTGAAATTTCGAGTAACATATTGAAATTTTATATTTTATAATGCGAATTCTACGTTTGAAGTAAAGCTTTTGAATTTCGACAATTTTCAAATCGAAATTCTCGACTTTTTAATTCTAAATTTCCTGTTCGAATTTCAAATTTCGGATTTTTAGGGACGTCAGTTTTGAATTTAAATTTAACACTTCGAGCTTGAATTCGAAATTTTGAATTGAAAGTCGAGATTTTAAGTTGCTTAGTCGAAATTATGAATATGGTTCAAAATTTCATTTTTGTTAAACCGAAACTCTAAGATTGAGGTCGACATGTAAATTTTAAAGTTAAATTTAAATTCGAACTCCGAATTCTGGAGTTTGAAATCGAAATTTCAAGTGGAAGTTTGAAATTTTATAATTTATAATGCGAATTCCACGTTTGAAATGAAGTTTTTAATTTCGACAATTCTCAAACCGAAATTCTCGAGTTTTTATTCGAAATTTCTTGTTCGAACTGTTCTTGTTCTGTCTTGTTCTGTCTTGTTCGAATTTCGGACTGAAATCAAAGTTTTGAATTTAAATTTAACACTTCGAACTTGAATTCGAAAATTAGTATTTGACATTACAAGGATGGACCTAAAATTTCATAGTTATCGAGTTCGACCTCTGAATTTCATATTCTCGAAATTTTACTTTTGAACGCGGAATTTCGAGACTGAAATAAAACTTTCGAATTTGAACTGCTTGTTTGAAGTTAGCAGTTCGACTATGAAACGAAACTTTAAATTTGTAGTCAATCCGTATATATTTAAAGTTCGAACTTTGATTTTTCGAATTTAAAATTGAAATTTCGAAGTCGAAATTTTGAGTTTCAACTACGAATTTCGTATTGTCTTGTTTAGATTCTAAATTTTCATTTGCAATCTTGGATGTAGCGTTTCCAGACTTTTATGAATTTTTATCTTCTACTTTTATGCAGGCTTTTAACTGCCCCATCTCGATGCTGTTACTGTAACTGCAAAAGTAACTAGAGGACAGTTTTTATAACCCCCCCAGAGTCCAGTTACACAAACGAGGACGGGAGTCAAAACTGGGAGGATTTAATGCAGACCTGTTTCCACATTCCGTACGGATCCTTCACTTCCTTCCTGCCATCAGCGAGGACGAAGTAATAATGTAATCCGAGATCAGAAACAGGGAAAATCAATTAAATAACATTCTGTAAACAAAAGTTTTATCTGCCATCCTGGGGATGGATAAGAGCTGGATTCTAGCAAGCCCCGGAATGCCTTTCCGACGAAGCTAAGATCTCCAGGAAGCAATCCCGGCGTCAGAGAGGGTGGGGGAAGGGAGCGTTGTCAGGATGCGAGGGGCTTTGAGATTAGAAGTGATAGTTTAGAATTTAGGAAGTTCTTTCCCGTTGGAGATAAGTCTAATACCTGCTAAGTGTTGTGCGATACAGAATTTTATATTACAGGTGTTTGAAAAAAAAAGTTTCTAATCTCGTTCCTGCATTCATAAGATTACAAATTCTCAATCATGTTACTTTGTCCGGGGTAATTTTGCCGCAAAGTGGGAATAGCACCGGGACAACATAAGCTGCGTAACGGTGCAAAGGACTAACCGCGGGCAATAATAATTCATAATTTAATTTTCAACACAACCGGAAGTTTGACTTGCATAACTAGAACAGTTAGTCGCGAAATATAACTCTAATCTGCGACTAGCGACAGTTTGAGCCTTGCATACAAGGCATCTTTAATCCACTGAAAATTTGGAACGAGCGCTAAACGAACACACAAGCGTAATTGTTGTCGTCGTAGATTCCTTTATTTAATTTGTTGTGTCGCATATTCAGTTTATTCTGCGGTAGCTGGAAGATAAAACTTGTTATTAAGCTCTACTTACGTACTACCAGCATAGTTTGAGTGTCGATTCTCGTTGAAAATGTCTTATCGGTGGTAACTTCGCAGCTGAAGTTGCCAGACAGGTTGAATTCTATGTCTCGTAGAACGACCTGGGTGGAGTTCGAGTTGTTGACCTGAAAAATAAAAAGAAAGGCTCTTTAACTGGTCATTGAAGGAAAAACTAAAGTATACTCACATCTATTGTGATTCCACCCACAGGAAACACCTTGGTGCTTGGGTCTTCGCTGGGCGTGTATCTGTAAAACTCGTGGTTTCCTCTGTACCATTTCACAGCGTACAAATCCTGACCTTCCAAGTCGTAGGAACAACGGAGTCTGGAGAAGTTGTGGCGCTGGACGACTTCCGGTTCAATAGTCAGGACTACGTTTTTCAGGGGAAGGACATCTGAAAGAGATAATTCATATTACAGTACATGTAATTTCCGTTTTGGTTTGGAATTTTGAAACTAACTAGCTTTAGCGATGCGAATACACTAAGCAAAGCGCCGAGTAACCAATCTCGCGGAGCCTGCAAAGCAACTGTTTGAACTTCGACCCAGGGAACATCCAACAATAAATTATTATTTTTCATCATGAAGCGGTTAGCTTCACAGTAGCACGAGTTCGACGTTCCAGGACGATTGCAGGAGGAATAAATTTCTTTACGTATGCGAGCGTGTACGCGACAAAGGAAAAACGTTTTACTGGTGACTCCATCTTCCTCTAGACTCGATTTATTGAACTATTGAGATGCACAACATGAGCTGGGGTTATAACATAGACCCTACAGGTTTCTCGGGTCCCCTTTCGGTCACGTGTAAGCGTTTGAAAGAGCATTTGCAGGAAACGTTTTTATGTGTCGAACGTGGCACGCTTGATTGGAAACATCTATCGGATTGGATGAGTTCCTATTAGTTAATTATCTGTACACTCGAACGATAAGTTCTGCGTGACGACTTAAGGTAAAAGTAGGTCACATTTGAATCCCTCTCAAACGTACCACGGCCTCCTAACGGAATTCATAAGGCAAGCAAAGGATGAAGGGTGAAACCGCAGAAAAAGAAAGGACCGAATACGCTGCCATGTCACGCGCCCTCACACATTCCCGACGTCGACATCTACAACACAATCTTGTCCCCTATTATACATTCCAGTTGAAGTAACAGTCGGCCTGCCTCGCATAAACAACGGCCGGGAACGAGGTCGCCGGAATGAGATAAGTGGCATTGGAGTGTTCGCAACAACACTAGGGCTTTGTCGTGGGCTTCGTTATGGGATAAAAACTCTCGGCCCGCCCCCTCTCGAGCTTCGGATGAGTTTATGCTCGCGCGAGACGGCGGACTCGCGGGTGGAGCGGAAAAGAACGGGTTTAAGGACCCGTGAGGATGAGCGGGGAAGATATGGAGTGTTAGGTCGCGTTTGGAGATTAGGGTTACGGAATACTTAACAAGAGCCTCGAATTTCATTCTTCAGAAAAGCTTGAAGTATTACTGGGTGGAAGTTCGATCACACACCACGCTAGTTCCGCAGGAGGTTCTGTAGCACAGTCCGCGTTAGATTTGGAAATTGAGTTGTTGCAAACATATCTCCAAAGAGTTGTGTCTGTAGATTATTGTGATTAATTCGAGTTTCGAATTTTTTGGAGATTAATTTTGCTGTGAGCATCGTTTGGTACTGCCGATGGGTTTTGGCGGTAATCGTGGCTTCATGCGCCTTCCGATCTGTGTGGTTGGTCGTCTGTGGTTGTCTGTCTATGATTCCCGTAGATTTGGCGGAATCTACGCCTTACACGTGGAGCTTTTTGAAGGATTAACGAATTCTTTTCGAAAAATGCAAGGTACCAAAGTCGACGTTCAAACACGTTCTATGTTGGCTCCGCAGAGATTCTGCAGTGATCTTTGCCTGTAATTTGAACATTTTATTTTGTCTCACAGGAAATGGGGAATAAAAACTGAATTATATTAATTACTCTTCTTGTTCTAATATTTTGACTAAAAATCAGTTCTTTTTACTTTATGTCAGTGACGACTTGGCAACGTCGCCTCGCTCATCGCCATCCACCCCACGTTGCACGCCTAGGTGGCCGTTGCGAGCTGCGAATGAAGAATCAGCCTTTTTTCAGCACGTACGCAATTTTTCATGAATTATTTCCTACATGTTATCACGCCGGCCATTCCAAATTAATCTGCGGCTATAAAAGATTTTTTTATGCGCCCCTAAAATTAGCGCGGACACGGAAAACGTTTTTCTCCCCCATCGTTCGGGGCAGATAAGATTACCAACCCTAAACCGAACCGAGAAGTAAACGTTTACTACCCAACGTCATTCCCTTGTTTTACTGACACTCGACAAGAAAATAACAGAAACTTTGACGATTTATATGTACCGCCCCGGTTAGAAACTAACGTGAAAAGTGTATAATTGCTTTATAAAACGCGGGAAACGCGTCAGCGAAAAATCCTGAGAGGATTCCGGGAGGAGAGGTCCTGGTTTCCCGGAAAAGACAATGGGGTTTGTTTTAGTCGAGGGTCGGAAGAAATGTTTAAAGGGTTATGCACGAGGGTGAGCTGTAGAATCTTGCTTTAACTTGTAATAAATGTAAACAAAGCTTTTTAGAGCAGAGGGAAGGGGTTTGTTAATGTCATGGGTTCATAATCTGTTTATGTTTTCTCTGTACTTTTAGAGTATGTAAGGAATATACAAAGAAACAACATCCTCATTTCAGCGATATTGTAGAAATAAATTAGAGAATATGTACTTTATTGTGGAGAATCATCATTTTCATCATGGTCATTGCCATCATCGTGATCGTCAACATCATTATCAATGTCACAAGCAAGTGTCGATAGAGGAAGGAAAGTATCAGTATGAGATATTTTCTAAAATCAAATAACTGGAGAAATGTGTGCATAGTTGATAATAATTATAAAGAAAGTTAAAGATAACAATAAAACTACTACAGCAATGAGATGGAACATTTTTTTAAGAGATAGCTTCAAGTAAATGGAAGAAAGAACGAAAGAAAGAATGGATGACAGAAAGAAAGAATCGTTGACCAAAAACTAATCACGTTTGCGAAACTACGAGGGCATCAGCCAAAATCCAAACTTAAGTTGCACCTAACTAACCCTTCAACAATCCCTTACTTTCCTGCCCATCGATCACCCGACGACGTCTCTGTTTATCCAAACGAAGCCATCTAAATGTAACTGTACTAACAAAATTATCTTAATGGCAGTTTATCGCGGGGCATTTAATTTTTGCCTCCCCCTCTGCCCCGCTCACCGACAGGCAGTAAATTAGATCAATTAAGGGAGTCCGTAAAATTTTCAGCTTCCTCCTTAATTCTATCAGATTTATAGGTCGCCCTCGCCTCGCAATCGGGTCATCAGTTAACGACGTTAATCGTCCAAAGGCAAGTAAATAAGTCAATGTCTCGGCCGAAAAGGACGACGTGGCCCAAAGAAAGGGGATTTGTACGTCATAAAGTTATCTTTGATTATGATACTATTAATAACAGTAATTGTTGAATGATTTGTAGCCAGCTGTCCTGCACAAGTCTTCAAATAGGAGAGCTCCTTTCAGTGTACCTCAGGGTTCTGTCGTGAGGCCATTACTATTTACAAATATCATAACTGATGTATTACCCAGACGGTGCATAGATAATAGAATATCACTCAATGCAACAAAATGTAACGATATGTAATTGGGTGTAAGCCTGTATTTTCAAAATATATTTAGTAAAAAAGAAAAGAAAAAATAATTACTTTGCATTACTTTCTATAGTATTATTCCCTTCAGTGCTAAGTGGTTCCTGTGCAAATATAAATTTAATTTTGCCATCCAAGGTAAGGTTTTCCCAAGACAAACAAGGAGCAGGCCCCTCGTGTTTAGTTTTGCATCGATCTCCTAATTCTTGCGAAAATTTTCCCGTCAATCTGATTAAAAGCTTACATACCTAATGAAGTCCCCGTTCTCTTCTTGTTTTCCCGTTTGTGTAAACCCAACATTAATCGCACCGGAGCACCGTTCCGCCGTTTTATCATTAGAAATTAATTGGGCCCCGGTTGCTTCGTTCCATTTGCTAAATTTCCCGACGTACACTCTTTAATTTAAGTGTCCATTCGCCAAACCCAAGACACATCGCCCGTTGCCTGCCTCACCTTCGCCCCGACAGTAGAAATAAACTTCAGGTCGGCTTTTACGGGGAAAAACTACACCGGCAGCGGTTTTCAGTATATTTTAGAGAAAATCACCACACTTCCGAATCATGAATTGGGCAGTAAAAGGTCCAGAAGTTAAAAGTATACGTATAAGTAATTACTGGAAAGCAACGCCATCTAGTGTCAGTTCCAAGAGTAAAAATAAATTATGCCCACCCTCAGCCCGTGATCTGAATCTGAAATTTGAGTTGAAACGGAAGTAGACGTCTTTTAGACGTATTTTAGACATTCAGTTTGAATTGAAACGCAATTAGATGTTTTTTAGAAGTATTTTAGACGTTCAATTTGAATTGAAACAGAAGTAGACGCTTTTTAGACGTATTTTAGACGTTCAATTTGAAGTGAAACGGAAGTAGACGCATTTTAGACGTATTTTATACGTTCAATTTGAATTGAAACGGAAGTAGACATCTTTTAGACGTATTTTAGACGTTCAATTTGAATTGAAACAAAATTAGATGTTTATTAGACGTTTAATTTGAGTTGAAACGGAAGTAGATGTCTTTTACACGTATTTTAATTGTTCAATTTGAATTCAAACGGAAGTAGACGACTTTTAGACGTATTTTAGACGTTTGCTTTCAATCTAAACGGGAGTAGACGTTTTTTAGACGTATTTTAGACGTTCAATTTGTATTGAAACGCAATTAGACGTTTTTTAGAAGTATTTTAGACGTTCAATTTAAATTGAAACAGAAGAAGACGCTTTTTAGACGTATTTTAGACGTTCAATTTGAATTGAAGCGGAAGTAAACGTTTTTTAGACGTATTTTATACGTTCAATATGAATTGAAACGTAATTAGACGTTTTTAGACGCATTTTAGACGTTCAATTTGAAGTGAAACGGAAGTAGACGCTTTTTAGACGTATTTTAGACGTTCAATTTGAATTGAAACGGAAGTAGACGTCTTTTAGACGTATTTTAGACGTTCAATTTGGATTTAAACGGGAGTAGACGTTTTTTAGACGTATTTTAGACGTTCAATTTGGATTAAAACGCAGTTAGACGTTTTTTAGACGTGTTTTAGACGTTTAGAAAACTTTTTCTTTCATTATAGTAATATTAATAGGACAAGAAAAAATGAAAATTAGACGTTTTTCTAAAGACATCTCAGCTTTTTTTCGCTTGTTTCTTACTAAAAAACTTGTAGGAATAAAAATGGAAAAATTATTATAAAATAA